AATAGCAAAATTTAGCCAACAATCCGCCTAAGCATATGAAGGGACACGCTTCTGGGATGGACGATCCATTAAAAGTTTTATTAAGTGTTTTCATAGCATGCATAGGAAAGCGCTTCTACTCATAAGAGATATAAAATAGGGGTCAGCAGGTGGCTCGGTGGTTAAGATTAGAAGGAAGTATAATTACAATATTAATTTTGCCTCTGGGAGATATTTTTGCTGTTTGATTCACCCTGCTTGTATATAATCTAAGGTGGTGAGATAAAGTAAAAGTTTTAGTTTGGCAGAATGGCTGCTAGTCCAAACCTAACATACAGATATTTATAAATTAGCAAATACTTCCCTTTGGATGCTTTCTGTTGTGTAAACCCAGATTTTCTGTATATAACATGCACTGAAAAATAAAGTACCCAGGAAATGATGTAATATCTATATTTGTTTAAAGTGAGTAAGAGGCAAAAATAAAACGTTGGCCATGAGGCTGTGCTTTTTAGAAATCAGACAGATAAGCCACAGATTTATAGAATGTGGTCTAATAAACCTAAGAAAAGTTTCATTTCCTCTTACCAAAATGGTGAACTCCCGGTCTATGTGACTAGCTCTGCAAATTTAGCAGAAGTCTTTTTCCCTTAGTTTACAGATTGAAAGATTTCTGAGCAAGTTGCAGCAATAATGAGCCTGAAAACACACAGACACACCGACATGTACACCTAGAAATGAAATCAAAACAGGCTCAGTGCTAGTACAAGGTTAGGTCAACCAAAGAACCAGAAGAGTCAGAGAGCATCATCTTGATATTCCCCAGCCACAGATCAGAACAGTTTAGAGAATCCCTGAAGAGGAAGAAACAAGGAATAAGGGAAGGGTTCAGACAAAGAACTTGAAAGTTTGTTTGCAAGCATTTCCCTGAAAACCCGCATTGACAAAGCAATTACAGGAAGGAGAAAAAAAAACTCTTTCTTTCTTATCTGAATGCAGTTATGCCAAGGGTCACACCCTATTATTGTCACTATTAAACATGTTAATAGCCCCAATGTAATGACTTTGTGTGGCTAGCTTTAAAATGTAATTGAATAGCTAACTAGAAAGAAGTGACTCATCCCTGCCCAGGTGAGTATTGACTTTCTTAGTCATATTTACACAACTGGTCTACCAACCTTAATTCCCCAGAGGAAGAGATCTAAAGGATTAGAGTTAGGTTGAATTGCAAGGAAAGAATGAAAGAAGGAATAGTGAATGATTTCTTTCTCCCTTTAAGAATAATTTTTATTTATTTATTTATTTAAATAATAAGAGAGAGAAGGAAAGTGAGAAAGCAAGCGGCCAGGTCTGGGGCTCGAACCACAGCCATGTGGGAGTACACCACCACAACCACCGTGCCACCTGCTGGTCCTGATGATGAATGTTAAATATAGACGGAGTAGGGAACCAGCAGTTAGCGTAATGGCTATGTCGCTGGACTCCCACATAGTCGACCGCGGTTCGCGTCCCAGACCCAGTGGCTTAAAACTCACGCTGGGCGCGTGTGCGTGCGTGCCCAGGATCCCAAGAGGAGAATGGAGGAGAAGGGATTGCGGCGTGACCATCCCCCCTGGGTGATGATTTCTCCCTTTCTGTCTCTATGTCTCTCTCTGTCTGGCGAGCACACGCGCCCTATAGTGAAAAATCTCTCTCAAAAAAAAAAAAAAATATGGACGGAGTAGAAGGTGCCCTAAATGAGAGATTTGTTAAGTCAGAACTCAGATGTCCTCAATCAAAACTTTCCTCCTAGCTCCTGAGACTCAGGCTGGGTGTAGAATAGATCAAACACGTGTCCCTAAAGCAAGTGGAAGATGGTGTGGAAGGCTCTAAAACATGAATTGAATCAAAAGCTCCCACTCTTCAGCTGTGTGGTCTTAAGCAAGTTGCTTAATCTCTCTGTGACTCAGTCATCTTTGCAAAACAGGATTAATCACAGCACTTCCCGCTTAGAATTGTTCTTAGCCTTTAAAGAGGCAAATCATTTACAGTAGTGCCTAAACCATTGGAATTGCTATATTAAATGTCAAGAGAGCCCTACAGACACCCAGGGGAGTGGGCTGGGCTAGTATTCATTACTACCCCCTTTTTATAGGTACATAAATTGCTTCGCGAAAGCGTAAAGCGCGTCACCAACAGAGGTGATAGATGCTAGACTCAAAGCTCTTCTCCTAACTGCCAATCACATGCAGCTTGCAGAGCAATTTCTAACACACTCATACTGTGGATCAGACTGTTGTTACCACATCAAAACTCTTGAAAGACTCAGTACTAGAAACACTACATACACGTTTCCATTAAAACCTATACAGACAATGTGCTGTGTAACTTAGCTACCCTAAGTGGCTAAGATATGTTAGCAACACACCACACATCACACTGTGTGATTCCCTAAGAATCCTGCGGGAGTGCTCGCACCAGACCAGCACCCCAGCTCTCTTGTCAATTATCCTCCTCATGCGGGGGGATGCGTTCATTCCAAGGCCCTCAGTGGATACCTGAAGCTACAGAGAGTACCAAACCCTATATATATTGTGTTTTCCTATCCATACCTATGATAAAGTTCAATTTATAAATCAAGCACAGTAAGAGATTAACAGCACTAATAAAACAGAACAATGGTAACAATACACTGTCATAAAAGAAGTTATGTGAATGTAGTCTCTCTCTCTCTCTCTCCCTCTCTTTCTCTCTTAAAATACTACCTGAACTCACCTATTTTTAGACAGTGGTTGGTCCTGGGGTAACCAAAACGGAAAAGTGAAAGTGAGATGGGGGGTGGGGGCTACTATACACAGCCCACATGTGACCCTCTTGGCCGAAAAGAGAAACGGAGGCACAGAGCAGTCTGGTAACTTGCCCAAAATGGCACAGCCCAAAAAGTGTTGTCCTTGTGTCTGACATGGCCTAGTTGCAATGTATGGATTTAGACTAAATCCTGAAAAGTGGCATTGTGGCACTTCCCTAGGGGATGTTTCTCTGTCCTGAAAACAAGGCTGAGAAACTCTCCTAGTCAACTGGCGCCGGGGATCTAATCAGGTCTTGTGGATCTCGAGTCATAAGGAAGAAACCGTCTTTCTGTTTCGTTTTCCTCATACTCACAGTAGGTCCCAGCTCTCCTTGACCCCCCTCCTAACTCTGACCACAGACTAATGAGTGACCACTTGGCAGGCCATGGCTGAGGAATAGCTGTGTTCATATAGCCTTACGGATAGGCAGAATGAACCATTTTGCTAATTAAAGGTGAACCAGGAAGAAGCTGCTGAACATAAGCTTCCACCAGGCCATGACAACTGCAGAGAAGGGCCTGCCTGCTCTGTCAGACGGAGGAGCCCAGTTAAAGGGCATGGTCTTTACATCCACACCAGCTCCAGGTACTCAGGGTACAAGGGGGTCTGAGTACAGGCATGTTCACGGGTGAGAGAGTGTGAGGTTCAAAAGACCCAGAAAACACTCTAGTTTTACTCACATCTGGCTAAAAGGGAATGGTTAGGCCAGAGGATTTCCATGGTATACCAGTACACAAAGTGACCAGAATTAAGACACACTATAATATAGAAAGGCGTCCTTGATATGACAGTGAGTGAAAAGATAATGTATAACTATGTAACGTACAATTCCAATATGGTGAGACATTTTTGAAGTCTGCACACAGAAATAACTAGAAAAAAACACATCCAAATATTAAGAGATCATCAATAGGTATAAAAGTGTATGTGTTGACGTGTCATTTTGGTTTTTATTTTCTGTCTCTCTAGTTCGTTTTTTTTTTTAAAAGAATTAATTTTATTTAACTTTATTTATTTATTTAAATTTGACCAGAGAGGGACAGAGTGATAGAGAAAGAGAGAAAGAAAGCAAGCCACCAGGTCTAGGACTTGAACTGTGATCAGCCATATGGGAGTCCAGCGTCCTTAACTACCATGCCACCTGCTGGCCCCCTTTCTAGTTCTCTTAAATAGTTACTCTCCACCTCCTAAACTAGAACAAGCTAACATAGATGATTTAACTGGCATTTTCACTCTCTACAGAGAGGATATATGTACACATGTTTTATTTCATTCTAGGTTCCTGACTGCTGGAAACCCATGCTTTCTATCCCAACAGCCCTAAGAGCATCAGCAACCAGCACCTAGTAGGGATGCAAAAAAATGTTTTTAAAAGATGGAGGCTTTCACTAATTGGCTCATAAATATTCACTTCCCTTTAAAAAAAAATAGTAGCAGCATTAGTACTAAATCATTTGCTGTTTAAATCTAAAAGTTACTTTACAATTTTTTATCTGCATTGACTTTTGCTTCTCTGAAGATAAAAGCATATTCTAGATGTTCTTTATTCTTCAGGACTACTAATTTGAAAAGAACTGTCACTCCCACGCACTGAGCAGTGTGGGGTATTGACGTTGCATTGAATTATTTAAAGGAAATTAGCAATGCTTCCTGTCCTTGGAGAGCAACATCTGCAAGAAAAGCCATTTGCTTCTGCGTTGGGTAGGTATCATACTGGAGGAGCGAACATTCCTCAGCACCTAGGATTCTCAAAGAAAATCAGTAAGTTCTACATAACTAGGAACAAAGATAAACTTGAGATTATAACTTCTCTTGCACTGGGTGCAGTGTACAGTCCCAGGAAATTGCCTCCTGGGGGTCAAGTTTAATGAAATAATGTGCTGCTCATCATTCTCATGGAAGCCACATGTGACAATGGATCACGTGGCCTTTACTGAAAGTCAGCTCCCTTACTTGGAGTTGGAGCTCCGCCCTCCACGCTCTCCTTGTAAACCGGCATTTTTATGGCAATGATATCCCTATCAGTGGTCAGTCTGCCCAGACACCATGGCACCCGAAATGACAGTGACCCAACAAGAACTCAGGGGATCGTGATGGATTGGCCCTGCCCTAGCGCCAGGTAAACTTTGGATGGGTGGTTTCATTTCAGAGCCAGCTCATCTCATACCGTCACCATTCTGCTCCGAGACCTACCTCCATACACCAGGGCTCCCCAACCTTTTGTAAGGAGTAGCTCCTTTTCATGTCCCTGAAGACTTGAGTGCTGACAGTGAAGTCTGAGGGGGGGCAGAAGTGCTGACAGTCATGTCCCTGAGTGCAGCAAGGGAGGGGGCCCTGCTGCCAGGAAGAAAGGGGAACAGAGTGAGGCTTGGGAGGGAGGGGGCACAGTCCCCAAGGCATACACAGTCCCCAGTCTGCCTTTCTACCCTAACCCACATGTCTCCAGAAGCTCCGAACATGGAGGATTTACGGTTCCCAGAATAATTCAGAATCTTCCAGCTCTCTGCCATCCAGTTTGAGGTCCCCTCTAGTGGCCCCTCAAACACAACCTCTTCATGTGGCCTTTCTACACCCCTTCCCGTTATTCTTGCCTACCCACCATTCCCCCTAATGGTCATGGCCACTCCTCTAGCAAACCAGGGAGCTCATATTCTCTCAACTTACCTTCCTGAATCTTCTATTAATTTGAACTGTACACAATTGCTGATATTCTACACTTCATATGCTATTACACATGGTTCCACACAATAGTTGAGCCATTTGAGATCTGATCTATCCTAGCACACACCTTGTCTCCTCTATGAGACTACAGTCTTTGGAAAGAAACAACTACACCACCATCTCTGGACCCTTCTCAGGGTCTGGCATCACACATCTTGGGTGCTCAAGAAGCTTGAACTGAATTTCAACCCAACTGGAGCCTTATCACAAAATAAGGTTTACAGATTGCCTGTTCCCATCTTGGGCTCTGGACCGCAATGTACTTGTTCTTCCATTAATCCTTACAACCACCTATGAGGTAGGTAGTGTCATGCCCATTTCACAGAGGAGGAAACTGACTCAGAGACGGTAAGAAGCATGCCCAAGGTCACACAGCTAGTAAATGGTAGGGGAAATATAGACTAGGTGTCATTTGACTCACGTAGATGGCTGCTGTATAGACTCATTGGCCTGTGCAGATATTTACTACAGTTCTACAAACAGGGTAAAGAACTCACGGGTGCAAAGAGCGACCTGGGGCCCAGGAAGGGCTATTTTGTAATAAACAAATGTCATTTTAATGTTCTTTAGGAAAAAAATCTGTGCCCTTTATGTTTATTGTAAAGGGTGTAGGCTCTCTCTACTCTAGGTCTCTTTCTTTTTTAAGTTTTACAGGAAGGAGAGTTCTATGAACAGGTTTTTTTTTTTTTTTCTTTTTTCTTTTTCCCCACTTTCTGAATCCCAAATACCAATACCAATTCAGGACTAAGGGTATGAGATTGAGGACAATATTATTTTAATATGTTTTAATATTCACTATCAGAATATATTGGGTATTAAAGATGCTGGGAGATAGGAAATCAATGAAAATAAAGGACAAATGTATAAAACAGCCACACTTCTAAAACAGCCACACATGGTTGCTACAGTACCTGCTCCTCCCACTGCCCCAAGTGTATCCCGGTGGATTACTGCCTGAAAGGTGGAGCTACTACAAGGCCTCAGTGGTTGCAGCTGACCCTCTGTCTGGACTTTGATTCCAGAAGCCCTGAGATCTGTACTGCTCCCTTCCCACACGGGACTGCCAAGTACCAGAGGAATTATTGGTTCTCCATCCCTGGAGGTCTCTGGTTTCCATCTGGGAAACAGAGCTTCCCACCCAATACACATTTGTAAACAGAAGCATGAGTCACGAGGCATGCATGAGTCCACTTGAGAGATCAGCCCAACTTTACAACTAAGGTAATCCTATTCCACCTTGTCAGAGTGGTGACTCACCACTGTGGTAAAAGGTGACATGATCAACTCTCCAGTTGCTTCCAAAAGGATCAGCACATGCGTCTAGTATTTGCCTGCTTGCTTGTTTTCTGACACAATGTTGAGAACAAAGAGGCCAGGGTCTCAAGGGCCAGTGCACAGAGAAGGACGAAGGAAAAGAAATGCATGTTAAGGACAATGACCTCATCATCTTTATTACCTTCCATAGCCACTTCTCATGGCCTACCCTCTACAGGCTGTACCTTACAGTGAAATGGTATACACACGTGCACACACATTCCTCTAACATTCTTTCATGCCTAGGGACCTCAGAGCCAAGTTTCTAGGTCATGTCTACCAGCCGATTAGTTTAAGGACCCACCTGATTTTCTCTTTTTTCTAATGTTTTCCTTTCACCAAAAACAAAGTCTTATAAACCACTACAAATTTTAGAGGATATGTCTTCTAAAAACTTTGCAGGTGGCGAGGCAGTTAGGGCGCTGGACTCCCTCATGGCCAACAACAGTTCAAGTTCTGGACCTGAAGGCTTGAAAATCACACCGGGCACATGTACATGCATGCCTAAAATCCCAGGAGGAGAATGGAGAAGGGATTGTGGTGTGGCTATCCTCCCCACACCTGGGAGTAAGGGGGGGGGGTGATTTTTCACTTTCCCTCCCACCATCCCTATCTCTGGCAAGTATATAAGCCCTATGACAACCACCACCACCACCACCACCACCCCCAAAAAAAAGGAAAAAAGAAAAACTTTAAATGTACTTACAAATATTAAATTATTTTATACCACAAGAAGAACTATAGTTGATCTCCCCCCCCATTCATGATTATTCTGGTACAAATACCTCAAATTATGTAGAAGGTATGACTCTGACTCTCAAGCTATGTAGTTTAGTTAGAGTGAATCACAGCCCCAGCTCCAGGGGTGGATGACTTTACTAAATCCAAGCCTCTTACTACAGACTACTTCACAATCAAGGACACAGACTTGAAGGGGAAATAAAAAAGTCAACTTGGAGGGCAACAGAACCAAGAACTGAATTGAAAGGTAACAGTTCTGGTCCAGGGGCTTCTGAATCCAACCAGGCCTGATGTCTGCTACCTTTGACCTTTCAAGTTATGAGTCAATGCACTCATTTTGTTTATGCCAATTTGAATTGGATTTGAAGAGAGAAAGGAGAAAGCGAAGTAGAGCAGTCTAGCCACCTTAGTCAGACTGACTTCAATAATCATCCATTTTTGGATCAGGTGATAATATGGGAAAAACTGTATATGCTCCAGAGAAAAGTGAAGGCCTTCTGAGTTGCATGCTCTTGTCATGATGAAGGGGGTTGTTACAAGGTAAAGAACTGGAGTTCTCCTTTGGTACATCTTAAAATATGAATGAATGTAGCTTGTGGCCAGTCCCTGGGGAAGAGGAAGGAGACTTTCAGTCACCACACACCTGCCGGAACTGCCAGCGGGCCTCTCCTCCTCTAGTGTCTTCATCAAAACCACTGGCACACCGATCTACTTTCAAAGGCGGTTTCTACGAATATACTGAATCCAGAAAGTAGAAGCCACAAATACTTAGCAGCGCTAAAAGCTGCCTGACTTTCACCTAAGGGGGACAGTGGATTCCAAGAGATGCATTTCTCCTGGGGAAGGTGAGATTGTCTCTCATAACTAGAGAGAAGGTTGGCAGAAAGGGCTGGTGGGTTTGACTCTAACTGGTGGCTCAACGCCAGAGGGCAAGGTGTGTTAACCAGACATGCGCATGGCCACACAGATCAAGAACTGAGATGAGCCACCCACAAAGGCACAGCAAGACCTGTGTCTTCCACTACCTTGCTTTGTTAGAAGCTAACCGCCTCTTTTCACCAGGTTTATGAACTAGAAAGGAAACCAGTGAGTTAGTATAAATTGTTGTGCCAGGAAAAGTTAACAAAAAATGAAAAAGGATCAAAGAAGGAGTTAAAGAGCATTGAAGAAACACAAATACTAAAATACGAGAACCTCCCAAGATGAAGATTTTATCGGAAATAATATATTCAGAATGAAATGGGCTATAGAGAAAGTCGTTGTTGGCTATAGAGAAAGTCTGAACCGACCTCTAGGAAGAAAAAGGCAAACACTTTCTAGCTAGTCTCAAGAAGTTCATTTTGCAGGTTAATTTTATAGGTGAGCCTTGCTGGGCCACAGGGTACCCAGACACTTGGTCAAATGTTATTCTGGATGTTTCTAGGAGGGTCTGTCTGGAGGAGTTTAACTTTTTTAAAAACGAATTATTTATTTAATTTTATTTGTTGTTACTATTTTTAATTTGACCAGAGAAAGAGAAAGTGAGAAAGCAAGCCCATAGGTCCAGGACCTGAACCACGGTCAGCCATGTGGGAGTCTAATGCTTTAAGTATCCCACTATCTGCAGGTCCCAGAATTTAAAGTTTAACACTTAAACCTACAGGTGGTCTGAGGAAGTAGATTTCTCTCCCTCATGGGGAAGGGCCTCATCAAATCTTCTGAATGTCTGAATAAAACAAAAGGCTGATTCTCCTCTGAATACGGGTGGAATTCCTTGGTCTGACCATCTTCCAACTGAGACACTGGTTTTCTTCCTGCCTTTGGACGTGAACTGACACATCATGCCTTTCTAGATCTCAACCTTAGGACAGGATACCTCTGGACTCAGACTGGAACAACACCATCAGTTCTCCTGGGTCTCCAAGGATTTGTCAGCTCGATTAATCATGTGAGCACCTTCCTTGTAATAAAGAAATATACACGTGTGTGCATACACACATATCTTCTATCTGTTCTGTGTCTCTGGAGAACTCTGACTAATACAGTTAGGTTTTGTTTTTCATGAATTTCCTTCTCTGTAGCAAGAAGGAAAACATGATTTGTCGATCTCTAAAAAAGATAAGAATTTCGATACAGCATAGTCTTAGAAATCACCTAATCTATTTCTCTTTTTTTTTTTTTAATCCTACATCAAGAGGTAGAGAGTCTTTACAGGACTACACAGCTAGATACAAGCCAAAAGTATAAACCCACATATTTAAAATTAGTGGTTCAAAGTTCTGTGCATAACTTGAAGAATACCTTTTGCAACATTTTTAGAGGAATAAGAAGCCTGTTTGAAAAAAAATAAAGATACCAGCAAGAGCCATTCCACGAAAAATCCAACTAGGAAAGTGATTTTTTTTTTTTTTTGAGAGAGAGATTTTTGCTATAGGGCACAAGTGCTTGCCGAGATATATAAAGTGATAAATCACCCCCCTCTCCAGAGAGGATGGTCATGCAGCAATCTCTTCTCCTCTATTCTCTTGTCAGGATTTTGGGCACGCACACGTGTCTGGTGAGTTTTAAGCCACCACATT